CCCCATCTCCATCCCCATAAATCCCCTTTTCCTGAGCATTCCCAGGGCTGTTTCCTGCCCAGGCCAGGAGGAATTTTTAGGCCTGGACCTGCCCCTGGTATTTTTTTCCCTCCTCCCATTTTCTGTTCCCCCATCACCAGCAGCATTCCCAGCCTCACACATTCACAGATCCCTGCGGTTTGACCCTCAGCTTCTCCACTTTCCAGCACATTCCATTCCAAACCAACCTGGGCACACTCCTGCCAAACCCGTGGGATTGGGCTCGTGCCCAGGGGGACAAAAATCTGAAAATTGCCAAATTTTGTGCCTTTTTTTTTTTTTGCCAAAGCTGATGGGGATAGCAGGGGCTGACTGGGATGGAAACCATTCAGGATCTTTTCGAGCTGCATGGTTCCATGACACAAATCTCCAGTCACAAATAGCAACAGGCTCAGGGAGGAGATGCAGGAGGCTGGGCTGTGATTAACGAGCTCTGCATCTGTCACTGGAACTGGGAATTCCACTGGACCAACCCACGGCAGGGCAGCATTCAGGCTGGCTGAAAATCTGCCTTTTCACAGCAGTTTTTTCCCCCTCTTTTTTTCTCCTCCCATGAAAAGAATTATTTCCTTGGGAGCTCAGTGAAAGAGGAGATTTTCCCGATTCCTGTTGCAGCGTGTGAGGAGCCAGCCCTGCTCCTGCCTCCATGAAATCCAGGTAATGACCCAGAACTGCTGGGAATTAGTGTTTCATTTTGCCAGCCCTGCCAGACAGCTCCCTAATGGAAATTGATTTCTGGCTTCTCCCTCTGCCATTTTACACAGCCCTGGAACAGCTTCGTTTTACCTGCCAGGGAAATTTCGGCCAAAGGGACGCACAGGCGGCCCTGGGAAACATCTGGTTAATTATTGGGGTGTTAATGAGGGCCTGGGGGAGGGTGGGCTCCAGCACCCCAAATTCCCAGTGGTTGTCTCCAAGCTCCACTACCCCAAATTCCCAAGGACTGTCCCCAGGTTCCACCATTGCAAACTCCCAGAGATTGTCCTGGGGCTCCAGCATCCCAAATTACCAATTATTGTCACTGGGTTCCATCATCCCAAATTCCCAGTGACTGTCCCCGGGTTCCAGCACCCCAAATTCCTGAAGATTGTCCTGGGGCTCCAGCACCCCAAATTCTGGGCTCCAACATCCCAAACTCCCAATGATTGTCCCCAGGCTCCACCATCCTGAATTCTCGGTGATTGTCCCTGGGCTCCAGCACCCCAAACTCCCAGAGATTGTCCTGGGGCCCCAGCACCCCAAATTCCAGGCTCCACCATCCTGAATTCCCAATGATTGTCCCCAGGCTCCAGCATCCCAAATTCTCAGAGACCATCCCAAGGCTCCACCATCCCAAATTCCCAGAGATCATTCCTAGGTTTCATCATCCTGAATTCCCAGCGATTGTCCCTGGATTCCAGCACCTCAAATTCCTGGCAATTGTCCCCAAACTCCTAACAACTGTCCCCAGGCTCCATCATCCTCAATTCCCAATGATTATCCCAAGGCTCCACCACCTCAAACTCCCAGCAACTGTCCCCAGGCTCCACCATCCCAAATTCCCAGTCATTGTCCCCGGGTTCCAGCACCCCAAATTCCCACTGTTTGTCCCCAAACTCCATTACCCCAAATTCCTACTGTTTGTCCCCAAACTCCGTTACCCCAAACTCCCAGCGTTTGTCCCCAAACTCCATTACCCCAAATTCCCACTGTTTGTCCCCAAACTCCGTTACCCAAAACTCCCAGCATTTGTCCCCAAACTCCGTTACCCCAAATTCCCACTGTTTGTCCCCAAACTCCATTACCCCAAACTCCCAGCGTTTGTCCCCAAGCTTCACCACCCCAAACTCGCAGTGCCTGTCCCCAGCAGCAGCTCCCAGTTTAATCAGCCCCAGCTCCCCGCCCAGTTTGGGGCCGTTTGGGGCCGTTTGGGTAAAAGGCGGCTGCAGCTGCAGCGCTCAGGGATCAGCAGTGACAGGGACAGCCCATCCTGGATGTCCCAGCCCTTCCCTCGGCCAGGCACAGCGAGGCACTGACCCAGGTAAGGCTCAGGCAGCTGAGAAAAACCAAAAGGAGGTTTTCCAACGCTCCTTCCCCTCTGCAGCCCCAAAGGAACTGGGGGAAATTCAGTGTTTTCCCATATTTCATTCTTGTGGTGTGTGTGGGGAGCAGAACGTGACAGGGCTGGGTCCCATTTAAAGCAGAACTGAATTTGGGTGAGTTTTCAGAACTGAATTTGGGTGAGTTTTTAGAACTGAATTTGGGTGAGTTTTCAGAACTGAATTTGGGTGAGTTTTTTGAACTGAATTTGGGTGAGTTTTTAGAACTGAATTTGGGTCGGTTTTCAGAACTGAATTTGGGTGAGTTTTCAGAACTGAATTTGGGTGAGTTTCAGAACTGAATTTGGGTGAGTTTTCAGAACTGAATTTGGGTCAGTTTTCAGCCGTTTCCTGGTTCTGCGGGTACTTTGAGAGCGCCATGAATTGTCAGGTGAAGGAATTGTTGCTCGAGGTGGTGTTTGGGGTGTTTGTTCCTCGGTGAGGTGGGAATTTGGCACTCCCAAGCACGGTGTGGTGACAACAATAACCGCGAGCTAATTAGCAGAGTGTTAATTGTGAGCTGAAAGCCAAGCAGAGCCTGTGGAGCTCGGTCCCATCCCCTATTCCCCATTTCCCTGGTTCAGGGGTTGCTCCTCCTGCATTCCTAAACCCCAAACCCTCCCAGGTGCATTGTGTGCCCGTGCTGACAGCTCAGAACTGCTCTGCTGGCAGCTCCTGCCCAGCATTCCTGAGAAATGTTAATCAGGGTTTAATTCCTGCACGGATCCTGAGGGAAGGGGAATGTGGGAACGATGGAAGAGTGGCAGCTTTGGAGCTCTGCAGGGGGAGATGCAGGACAGACACTGAATTCTGGATGTGTCCTGGTCTTACCCTGCATTGCGTGGCAACATTTTTATTATTAAAGAAAATTTTCCTTGGTTTTGTACAAAAGGAAGCCCGTGAACAAATTCAGAACCTCCCCCTGTGCAAAGGTGAGAGTTCTCTCTGCTGTGGGTTCCTGGAGCTGCTGGAAGGATTCTTTTCTGTCACAGACCTTTTTTAAAGTAGAAATTAAAATAGAAACCCACTTTGAAAAATCGTGGGGAAGTCTGGATGGAGTTTGGGTTTTCATCCTGAGGGCAGCAGAGAAGGAGGAGCAGCTCCAGGAGGGATCTCAGAGCCTGCCAGCCCCAGGAGCAGGGATGGGGACAGCCCAAACACCAGAATATTGCAGTGAAAGAGTGGGGAAAACATCCCAGACAGGAATAATCCCCATTTCAGAGAGGGCTGAACACATGAAATCATTTCCACCTGCCTTAGGGGCTGAAACGGGACATGGAATTAGAGGATGGAAGCAGGAAAAAACCCCATCCTTTAAAAGTGATGCTGTGATTTTGCTTTTAACTCAGAGCAGGAAAAGAGCGATTCCAAGCCCCTGAGGGAGGATGTGGGCTTACAGCGTGGGCTTCACCGTCCTGCCCCACGTGGGAGGGTTCCTTGGCTGGTTCCTCAACAGGAAGGAGATCCCAGCGTGGTACGAGAAGCTGAAAAAACCTTCGTGGTGCCCGTCCCGCAGAGTGTTCCCTGTGGCCTGGACCATGCTGTACACGGGCATGGGGTGAGTGTCCTGTCCTGCTGTCCTGCTGTCCTGCTGTCCTGCTGTCCTGGCACAGCCAGAATGGCCCTGCCAGGCTCTGAGTGTGTCCTGGACCATGCTGGACATGGGCATGGGGTGAGTGTCCTGTCCTGCTGGCCCTGGCACAGCCCTGAGCCCTGCCTGATGTGACCCTGTCCTAGCCAGATGTGTCTGTCCCTGCCAGACGTGACCCTGTCCTAGCCAGGTGTGATCCTGTCAGGTGTGATCCTGTCAGGTGTGATCCTGTCCCAGCCAGATGTGTCTGTCCCAGCCAGATGTGACCCTGTCCTAGTGAGGTTTGACCCTGTCACGTGTGACCCTGTCCCTGTCAGGTGTGACCCTGTCCCAGCCAGATGTGTCTGTCCCTGCCAGATGTGATCCTGTCCCAGCCAGGTGTGACCCTGTCCCAGCCAGGTTTGACCCTGTCGGGTGTGACCCTGTCCCAGCCAGGTGTGATCCTGGCACGCTGCAGGCAGTGCCACAGCCTTGGGGATGCCACCACCAGCCGTGGCACTGGGCAGGGGCCAGGAGCCACTTTGGTGTGACAGGGGAGGTTTGGGAGCAGGGAGGGACAGGGAATTGTGGAATGGAATTCATGGAACAGCCCCAGCTGCAAGGGGAACATCCAGTGCAGATGGGTGATCCCAAAATCCCACCCTGGCCATCCCTGGAGAAGTGTCCAAACTCTGTGGAGCTCTGGCAGCCTCGGGGCTGTGCCCATCCTCTTCCTCTGGGGGAAGAACCTTCCCTGATTTCCAACCTAACCCAGCCCAGAGCTGTCCCCTGGGTCCTGCAGTGCTGCCAACCTCTGCTGGGGCACACGCAGGGGCAGGAGGGGCTCTGTCCCTGCCCAGGGTGGCACTAACAGCTGTCCCTCCCCACAGCTACGCCTCCTACCTGGTGTGGAACGACCTGGGGGGCTGCAGCAGCAAGGCCATTGTCCCCATGGGGCTCTATGGGGCTCAACTGGTCCTCAACTGGGCATGGCCACCCCTGTTCTTCGGTGCCCACAACCTCAACATGGTAATGGGGCTTCCCTGCCAGTTTTGGGGCCGTGCTGAGGGGAGTGAGGTGGGAATTTGGGGCTGCAGCCACACACAGGGTGTCAGCCCCTGCAGGCTCGCTGTGATAGCTGGGGTGGGGAGCGGGGCTGGGCCCTGCCAGGGCTGCACCCCCAGTTAAGGGTTGGGGCTGGGAGATAAAGCCCTTTGTGGGGTCACACCCTGGGTGACAACAGCGCTGTCACATCCCCGAGGGGAGCAGCTCTGGGGGCTTATCGGGCACAGCCAGGGCGGGGCTGGGCAGTGCCACACCCAGGCAGGGCCACCAGGATGTGCCTCAGGTGCCAAGGCAGAGGTGGCAGAGGCACAGCTGGGAATTGGTGTTTCCACCTGGATTTTGTCACTCTGGGGGTGAAAGGTGCAGTTGGGGGGTTTGTTCAGTGGCCCCCAGCATGAGCAGGTTCTGTCAGCAAAGGGGACAGTGGCCATGAGCAGGGTGGGATTCCATAATGAGCAGAGCACATTAATTACTCGTGGTGTCACAC